GGTACGTGCCCTCTCATCATCAATCTCATCTCTCTCTCTCTCTTACCCTCAACTTCATCCCCCACGTCTTCTCCCTCTTACACGAAGACCACCACCACCTCCCGCTGACTGTCCAAGCCCAAGCCTGGCTACGTGGGCCGGGCTATGGCGCTGCCCTCAGCAGCCTCCTGCTTACAGCACGACCGCATGCGCGCGCGCACACTCGTCATGCACTAGCGCAGCAGCCCGCGAGCACCAGCTCTATCAGCGCTGCCGCATCAGCATGCAAGTGCCCGATCCCTGTCCCCGGCGCCCTGCCCTTTCCTATATGGAAAGTGGTAGGCGCTTCTGCTCGCTTCCCATGTGAGACTGAGTTTCCGGTAGCTTCAGTCTCGGCCAAAGTGTCTGCGCCCAGGCTGGCTCAGACTGTGGCCTGGGACCGAATAGGTTAGGCATGCCCAACCACCCAGGTACAAACGTGTGGTGCTCCCTGCTTACACCATGTGCCGGAAGAGTCTGGAAGGCTCACAAATATTTTGGATTCTCACGAGCAAGGCGGATGTAACCAACTGGCGGGTGGCAACTGTCTGACGCCGACCAAGATTTGCAAAAAATTGACGAGTTCAGGGCACATTGAGGTTCAGGGGGGCCCCCTTCACATAGGGCGGGCACGCTCCTGCTGCAGGGCCCTAAGCCAAGGCAATAACCCTCGCATCTTGTTTTATCTTCTGTTTTTATCTCAAAATCAATAAGCAATTTCAAGGTGAACCTCAGCTAAAAGCTGTTTCCAATTCAGTTTCTGTTTTTTTTTTTTTTTTTCCCAACAACAATGCCTCTTCAATTCTGGGGGGTGTCTGTCTGGTTACTTATCACCGGCACGCATGTTTCTACAGCTGTTTGCAATTCAGATTCACACAACATATTTTGTTTTCCATATCTTTTTGTAACGATTCGCAAACCAAACACAACCTCGTACACACATGCAACGAGCATTCAGACGAGTATTCACACGTTGTAGCCGAGACACAAGAATCACACGAGAGGCTGAAATGCAAATTGTCTTCATTATACAAAGAAAGAAAGTGTACATGTCTCCTGCGGTCTCTGCCGCTTACACAGTACCAGACTCGAATCAGGTATGTAATCGCCTACTACTTCCCCTCTCTCATCCTCTCTCATGCTCTCTCTGGTCTTGTATCACTCAGCCTCACTGTCTCTCTCCCACTGCCTTAGGTCGCTCCCTGAATACATCCGCTCAGATCAGAATCAGACCTTGGCGGCTATGGCCGCCCTACCTTTCTACCACTACCCTAGCTATGGTTGCCTTCTGCGCTCCCTTCTTCTTCGAGCATGGTCTTGCCCAAGTCGCTTGGTCACTCAAGCAGCAGCAGCGCTTCCACAAATTCACGAGTGAAAAACTGTGTCCCATTGCTGCCCTGTAGCAGCTAAATATAGGAATTGGACTTGGCTTGGCCTGCCTCAGATCGGTACCTGTGAGCCACGGCCTCTGTTGCAATCATTTTGTCAGTCCGGAATCTTCCGGGCTTTCATGGGACTTGCTGCAATTTTTTGTGGACTTTGGAACTGGACATGGACTTTCTGGATTTTTCTGTGGGGTTACTGGACAGGCTGTACAATGACTCAGATCTCTAGACTTTTCTGTCAGATGCCGGACCCTCAACCTCAACCTAACGTTTCCGGATGTTTCTTGACTTTAGGCCTACGATGCCCTGAACTGTAGTAGTTTATGGATATGTACATCTGGGCCTCAGCCCCTCTCCTTGCAAGCACGGATTCGAACCGGCGACCTTGGCCTCGGGAGCCAAGTCTCTTAACCACTACAGCCAGGACACGGTGTTCAAAAGTGGAACCATGCCGGTCGTGATATCCACCCCATCCCTGCAAGGCTGTAGTGTCCAACTTAACAGACCCACACTACGCGAAGCTGGGACTTGAGACTTCGGACCTTTCTGGACTTTCGGGGATTTAGGGCCGACTTTCTGGGGTCTGCAGCATGAAATCCTTTCATTTTCGTTTTCTAAGTTTTTATTCAGTTATTCATTTTTAAAATTTAAAATTTTAAATTTTATTTTGTTTTTGAAAATTTTCCCCATTTTGTGTTAAATATTTTGCACTAGGGCTGCTTGGGACCCTGCTCAGACCCTGCTCGGCCAGGCTGAGCTGGGTGGGTGCCCGTGCTACCACCCCCGGCTGGCAGCCAGACCACCTGGGTGGTAGAACAGTTCGCCGCTCATTTCGTTTCTGCCTGTGTGTGTTGTCTTTGGTTTATCTGCTTGTGCTTTTTTAAATAGCTTGACCACTTCAGATCCTGCGCTGCGTGCAGCAGTACAGCCACAGACAGGTGCAAACGCAAATTCTCAGCCATCAGCAAATGCAGAGCTGAATTCAAAACCACCATTGATGAGATCCCATCGTACAAGGACACCTACACCGGCTGGCGAGCACTTCAAGAAGTCACTCAATGCATTCAGTCATGTGGTATGTTGAACGCACACATTACTTTGTTTCTTCTTCTCTTTTTTTTCCCTTTGTTGAAGTTTGTGAAACGGTTTCACCCAGTTTGACCCGACAGTTGCAGACATTCGGATTCGATCCCTAGACCTGCCCCTTGTCCCTGTACATAGACCTGTAGACCCTAGGTGAGGTTTGAACCCGAGACCTGTCCTTAATCTCGAGGTTAGTCAGAAGTCAGCAGGTTAGTCGGTCGTAGGTTTTGATCCCTAGGTCTTCATGTTAGCAGTCTAGTGCGTTACTGTTAGCCTTAGCTGATGGTCTTCTGGAAGTCTCTACTTGGCCCTTCGTGAGTGCAGAAGTCAGTCCGTAGGAAGTAGTCTGTAGGGCCTAGAAGCTTGTAGGGCTGTCTGAACTGTGTCCAGTCAGCAAGTGCCAGGCAAGTGGGGAGGGTCCCACGCGGTTTCCCACAGGTTCCACGCGTTTTGGCCCAGCAGGCCAACGCGTTCTGGAGGCTTCCGGGCCCAGGGCCACACGGTTTGGAACCGAGGCCCACGCAGTTTGGGGCCCAGGCCCACACGTTTTGAGGCAGGACCAGGCCACCTGCGGAGGAGTATAAATAAAGAGGCTGCGATCAGCCATTCATTCATTCGCCTGTGAGCCATGGAAGCGCTGCCTTGGTGACTTGTGTGTGGAGGTCGGCAGGTGCCCGGAGTTGAGTGGGCAGTGAGGAAGATGGCAACTGCCATAGCTAGGAGGAGGAAGACGACAGCGGCCATAGTCGCCAAGCTGTTGACGTCAACTTGGTGTACAGTGTGTGGGTGTATAGCGTGGACATTCAGGGTGGATCCTCGGACATGTGTACATGAGGGAGAGCGAGGCTGGTAGTGGAGACAGTATTTGGCGGCCATAACTGCAAGTTGTACAGTTGATTTGAACTGAGTTTTAATTGAAATACATATCTCTGAGTTTTCTTTGTGGGCGCAAGGCGCCGGTGCAAGTTCATTGTTGATTCTGAGTGGAACGAGTTTGGTTCTGCCATCAGTTCGCCCATGTATGCATGTTGACAACGAGTTGGAGTTGCGGTCTGATTTCACTGGTATCGGAGCTGCTACCCGCTGTCCACCTCGGAGCTGCAGCAAGCTGAAGAAGGGAGAAGCCGCCATAGCTGGAGTGCGGCAGGGTGAGAGAGAGACAGAGAGAGAGAGAGAGGAGGCCACAGCAGACGGGAGCCATAGCTGCCGAGCTCGGAGAAGAATACGACCAGCGAGAGAAGAGGAAGAAGTGATGCAGAGAGAAAGAAGAAGGAAGTTGACTAAGAGGGAGGTGAAGCGGCCATAGCCGAGGTGATGGAAGAAGAAGCGGGTGACGAAGGAGAAGGTTGACCACCATAGCCAGGAGGTCGGAGGGTTGACCAGGGAGGTTGACCAGCGTTGACCGGAGGTTTACCAAGGCCGTTGACTGGCATAAACGGGGGCTGACCGAAGCGTTGACCAAGACCGTTGACCGACGTGTTGACCAGGATCGTTGACCGGAGGGTTGACCAAGTTGGAGCGAGAAGACGATCGGTATCATCTCTTCAAGCCCTGGCCTAGCCCTTACCCTGTGGATGTGCACCCTCACCTTGGTACTCGCTGACGTCAAGTCTGTCAGAGTCTATCATATTTCCCTATCACTTTTGTCCAGGTCGTTAGGACTCCGTGAAATGTGGTCATAGAGCTGCGAGCCCGAACCTACACGAGACTTAGTAAGGCTAAAGGCCGCGTCTGATGACTGACACGTCCCGGTGACAAGACCCCCAAGGACCAATACTGACCGGGGGGCTGCTCAGTGTGGCGTGGTAGGCCCGAACTCTGAGCTGTGGGTTGTGCATCCAGCTGTCTAAGTTTTGAGAGGACTCGGCTGATCGCGTCGTCCTGTCTGCTACATTAAATAATTCTTGAGGAGATATGGGGGATCTCCTTAAATGCCTCCTGATCAGCCAGTGAGTCCGGCAGTGACAACCTTAGAGTAGACCCAAGTAGTAGATAGTTGTTCTAGACCCGAACTTAGACTGGTAGGTCTACGTGTTGAGGAGCGGAATCGTCTTTGATTGTGCACTTTCACCATGGTGACCACCAAGATCGGAGTTAGTACCACTCCCTGAAGTAAGGCTCAGAAAGAGAAAGTTGCCGCCCTTCTGAAGGAGAGGAAGGAGAGGATGGAGAAGCGGGAACTGATCAAGCAGGCGAAGATGTTGGCCCGACTAGAGGAGCAAGAGGCGAAGACGAAGCAGATGGAGGAAGAGTTGGAAAGATGGAAGGAGGAGGAGGAAGAGAAGATGGCAGCAGTGGAGACAGAGGCGAAAGAAGAAGAAGAAGTAGAAGACGAAGAGGTTGAAGAAGAAGGAACCTTGCAAAGAAGAAGGGGCGAGGCGAGTACTAGTAGGGTCCCACAAGAGGAGGTGGATAAGACAGTGAAAGAGTGGGCAACCCATATAGAACTGGGGGAGGAGAGAGAAGCAGAGTTGATGGTACCCTAGGCACAGAGAGAGGCGGCGAGAAGAGAATTGGAGGACGAGAGGGACCCCTTGCGCAGACGATAAAGGGAACATGAAAGAAATTGGAATGGAGGTTGCGTCTGACACAAGAGAGGATAAGACGTTTGGAGACAACAATAAGACTGGAAGGAGAATTGAAAGCGGCAAAGACAAGAATGGGGATGATTAGGGAAGAGACCGAGATAGGGACCAAACTGACTCACAGTGTAGAGTCCCTATTGACCGCACAAAGAGAGCAAATGAAACACCTTCGCAGCCATGATATTGCGCTAGAGTCTATGCGAGCCGGGTTTGAAGATTTCGCACAAGATATGATGAAATCAATTGTGGATAAGATCCATATTGTGATCAGTAGGACAAAAAAGTTTTGCACAGGCGCCATAGAAGGTGCAAAGTCAGCGGCTTCCAAGGAAGAGGAGCCTGCCCCACGCCGCGAGAAAGTCAAAGTCTATTTCCCTGAGCCTTTACGTGGGAAGACTTTGACAATTGGGAAGCTAACATCAACTTTTATATATACTTACAGGACGTAGCACCAAAAGATGATGTCCTAGTGGCCTTTCGGGCCCGGAGAGAGGAAGCAATCAGCTTTGCAAGGTCGCTTGCACGCGCAGCACGCTGTGAGAATGATAGGATAACTCCCCTCTCCGAGTTCCTTAAGGCGCTTAGGGAAATGATTCTCAGACGTCACACGGGGGCTTAAACCACTAGTACCTCCACCAGTGTTGGGAAATTGTGAGCTTTTGCCAGTTCCCGAAGAAATCGGGGGTGGGACACAGGGTCGGCAGTGTCCCATCAATCGTAATTTTCTTTTGCCCGTGCACGAAAGGAAAAGGAAAAAGAAAAAGCCTTTGTATTGCAATGATGTCAGGGAGGTTAGTCTAGGAGGCCGTGCTCACAATCTTGAATGCATCTTACAACAAAGACGGTCACATTCTGAAACTTGTTGTTTTCATTTTTTTATTTCTCTTTTGTTTGTTACGAGTCCCCTGCCGACGAGGCAGGGCGGAATCCGTGATCTGCTCTAGCTATGTTTCCTCAGAGGATTGTAACCTTGATGTATCCAGCCATTTTCAAGGCCGAATCCGTTTTTTTTTTTTTTTTTTTTTTTTTTTTTTTTTCCCTGGGGGCTGCGGGGGTTTTTTGGGGGCCCATCTTTTTTTTTTTTTTTTTTTTTTTTTTTTTTTTTTCTAGAATCTGACGATCTGAATCCGTGATCTGCTCGAGCTGTGTTTTTTCACGGTCGAATCCGTGTGTGTCTTTTTTTTTTTGTTTCGAGTTTCTAGAATCTGACAACCTCTCCACGTGGCTGAGATGCCCTCACTGAGGGCACACTCACACTACCACTGCCAAGAATGTATACAGCTGCAATCACGGCCAGAGCTTTGTTTCCTTTTCTTGTTTTGTGAGTTTCACGGCCGCAAATTTTCTTCTCTTTTTGTTTTTTTGTTTTTCCCGTGAGAGTGCCATAAAGAAATGAAGCGGGACCCAGGCTCAACAAACTCGGAGCGCAATGAAAATCAGGGTTGGCAAAAACAGGCTAGGAGATACCAGTGGTTTAAAGCCTCTGACAAATTACAGATGATCCACATGGCAGTGAAAGAGTGTACACGCCCTTAAGTCCACTATGGATGAGCTGATTGATGTTCCCAGGCATGGGGTAATTGACGCACAACTAGTTCAACTCTTCTGCCGCACTTTGCCTGAGCATGTGCAAGGGCACGTCTTCACCCGAAAGCAGCAGCCATACATCACTTATGATGTACTTAGTAGGGAGGCTGTTTCGTTCACCGCTCAAGCCTGGCCAGTTACCACGTTCTGGCACAAAGATCAGACAAAAGGAAAAATCTTGGAAGGGACGCACCATCTCCGGTCAGGTCAAGGCCAAGGATAGTCTAATTCGAAGAATGGAAGAAGGTGGTGCCGAGGAAGTTCCCTACTCAGACATTGAGTGGGGACTGGAAGAAGAAGACAGTGGGGTAGAGGAGGGGAGAACCTACGCTGCTGTTGTGGCCGGAGGGAGGCTGCAAGGAACAGGGCTTGGTCGAAATGGCTGGACCCCAGGTGGCCGAGGACAGGGCGGCCAGGGGGTTGGCGGCAATGCAAACCATCAAGCGGGAGGAAGGGGTCAAGGTCCCCCGTCTAACCGTCCTCGTCAGAATCGGTCACCTCCCAGACAAGGAAGGTGGCACCCAGGTCTGCCCGAAGGCCGACCATGGGAGGATTTGGATATTTAGAAGAGTGTGTGGCAGGGTCGTATAGACAAGTTCCAGTGTGTGTTCTGGGGGGATCCCGGTCACATCATCAAATTATGTCCCAAGTATAGGAGTCGCGCTGCTTCCGGGGCAGGAAAAAACAACTGCCGGTAGGGGTCGCAACTGCCCGTACCCTAGGAGTATGTGGATCTGAACGTGCGCGCAAGATAGAGTCTCCCACTCCACATATCTCCATGGTAGAGGTTCCTGGGCGGCGGATAGTAAGCTATCCAGAG